TATATATATATATATACTAAAAACCTTGATGGTTGGTTGCCTGGACACAGACTCCCGGCATCGTGATCCGTCCTATATTATTTTCTTCAGGTGCTCCTGCTGACGGGGGTTGCCACTTCATGACTCATTGATTAGTATCCACTAAGAATCCCCCGCTCTCCATCGCGCACAAAAGGTTTTCTCCTCTGTGTGAAGCATACACTTTGCCAGGTTGACAAGCGTGAATGTACACATGTGCACAAACACACACACAGAGTCTAAATACAGGCAAAGTGCTGTCACAGAAAGCAAAGAAACAACAACGTTTTGTTGTCAGTTGGCAGGGCATCATTTTAACAAAAGAAAAGGCTAATTGCACCTCATTAGTGGCCTGTGCTGAAATGAACAGAGGCTGACAGCAAGCAAAGTAAATTTTCTGTTTTTCCTCTCCAGGATAAAGCATGAGAATATCGTGGCTCTGGAGGACATCTACGAGAGCTCAAACCACCTGTACCTCATAATGCAGCTGTAAGTACATCAACCCACCACATTGTTTGCTGAGGTCAGCTCTTTGTCTCCCTTTTGACCTGTTATTTTCATAATGGGTTGTGTTTTTTTGCTTGAATAAGCGGTCTGTAATGTCCTTTGGGCATTTATGCCCTCAGTTGAATGTCTGAGTGAATGCAGCAATGCTTTAAAGATGAACAAGATGTACAGATGACAGGGCTGAGAAATGTGCTTATCCGAGGGTTAGATGAGAAGATTGATACCACTCTCACATTTGTCTGTTAAATATAAAGACTGATAAGTTTAAAGGTTGGAAATGAGAAAAACAGCTAGTCTAGCGCCGTCCAAAGGTATCGTGTTTGTTTAATCGATACAAAGGCAAAGTGTAAAAACAACAAGCTGAGGTTTTGTTTTTTTTGTGGCATCTAACGGACTAGACCAGTTTATTCCTCTCAGGTATTTTTATTATATTCGAGTCACAGAGCTAAGCATCTGCTTTTCAAAAAATAAATACCTGCTGATCTTTGAAAAACTCAGAAGATTGCTTAATATCATCTATTGCTGTTCTTAACTGATTTCCAAGGTTCCTCGCAGACTCTTCTAACCATCTGATGGTACAATTAATTTTTAACCTGCTTCTTATCCAGGTAGCAAGAAAATGCTGCTTGTGTATTAATATTTAAAAAATAGAGAATTATAACTGATAATGAGGTTTAAAAGGACCAGTGTGTAAGATTTAGTAGCCTCTAGTGGTGTAGTTGCAGATTGCAACTCACTCACATCACCCTCCCTTTCCAAGCGTGAAGGAGAGAGTACGGTGGCTGCGATAATGTGAAAAACCCGAGCCAGAGTTGGGTTTCTCTGTTCTGTACTACTGTAGCAACCCGCAGTGTGTGTAGATAAACACCGCTGTTAAAGTTTGAGCTTCACTTTACACTGAGGCTTTCAGAGCTGTTGATTGAAATTAATGGTCATTTTTGTGTTATTTATGCGGCAAGTTTCTAGTTAAATGTATTTCAGTCAGTGTGGAGGTGGACGTGTGACAACTGTTCCTCTGTGAGATTACCGTTTTCCTGTGTGGGGCATATGTCACCATGATTTCAGAGACCTTTCCCCTCACCACATAATTTCACAGTCATTGTGACTAATGCACCAGCAATTTTGCCAGCGATTATCTGCTGTCTCAGTGTACCTCCGCAAGGTCCGTAGCGCTGGCTTGAAGTCTCACTTATAAAAATGCTGATTGCCAGTCGTCTTTTAAAGCAGGCGCACACTCATGATTGATGCTCAACTCTATGAGTCACTTGTGTCTTTTTGCCTTTTGCAGTGGTAATTTTAAGAAGCAAATACTGCAAAGTTACACAATGTGACAAAGGGACAAGTCTCAAAAAATCACAAAGACGAGCTACGGGAAAACCGATGTTAGCAGCACTAACTGATTTAACTTCAGCCTCAAAATGACAATTAAATTCAATACCAACCTCCAACAGAGAAAGCAAAGACAAATGCAGGACATGAAGAATGACCATTTACCTTTGGGCTCTTGCACTGAATTGAATAAGATGATATTAATCAATCAGACTTTATTTGTATAGCACTTTTCATACAAGCAAAATGTAAGACACAGGCACTTCACACATTAAAACATCCAACCCCCACACACGCGCACTTAAAGTGATAAGTGTTTATGTGAACAATACAACACTTAATTAAAACACAAACTGAGGAAACGTGATCTCATCGAGTTGCAGTGAGGAGCTTGATAAGATCAGATACACATGAAACAGAAACAAACACAAAACAAAACAACAACAAAAAGGATGTCACAGATATCATGGTGTATAGCGCCTGTTTAAACGGTCTATAAAAGGTTGTTGAACGTTTGTTGCCTTTCTCAGACTAAATGTAATGTTTTTTTTAACTGTAAAGGCTTAATCACGTCCTTTCAGCGAGGTTGAGTGGGCTGGTGGGTCTTTCTGCTTCCAGTTCAACAAAATCAGTGTTTGTGCTAACAAAGTTATAAAACGTATTGTATTATATTGGCTGTTTGACAGCTCTGTGATAACTGCTTTGATTCCAAACACAGACAGAACTGTGTCCCGTTTGAGTCGCTTCTGAATATTTTAGTCCAATAACTAACGATTCTTGGGCAGCTCCAAAACATGTGTGCTAATGAGGCCGGTGCCTGATGGATTTACTGTAGTAAACATCTTGGAGAGGGACATTCCTATTATATTGGCCACCCCATGTACTGTAGATGTACTTATAATTATATCCTTTACTTGTTACAAAAGTTACAAAGTGCTTCACAGTCAAAATGTTTGATTAACCAGCCTGTGAAGCCAATTTCCACATTTGTGGAAAATAATAATAATAATAATAATAATAATAATAATATGTATTAAATGAATCAAAACCAGACAATGCGCAATGCAGGTGTGTGAAAATAAATGTTTATGACCGATTTCTAAAAAATTCAGTGAGTTTGAGTTCAACAGGGAGACTAGATCAGGGGATTTTAGTGCAGGATTTAAGGTTCAGGGGCTACAAAAGCTCACAAATGTATACTCAAATTACATATATTTTATAAAGGGGAATAAAAACAGAGCAGTATGTGCTTCCTCATATTCTTCTATTACTGCAAAGCTCTTGTGTTGTGAAACGTTTAGTATTTATAGCTGCCAGCTGACTAAATATATTTTTATTCACGGTGTATTTACATGATCAGTCACTTGTAATTAGGTTATATACTGCATGTCATTATACTTAAAATATACCGCTGATGAATGAGTTTTCTGTGTGCTGACAGGGTGTCTGGAGGTGAGCTGTTTGACCGAATCGTAGAGAAAGGCTTCTACACAGAGATGGATGCCAGTCGGCTCATTCGACAGGTTCTGGATGCAGTCAACTATCTGCACTCCATGGGCATAGTGCACAGAGACCTAAAGGTACAACAGCAAGTGTATATTCATATATAGGTCCTCCCTGCGTTTGTTGTTCAAAGGAACTCTTCAGTCTTACTGAGAGGGGAAATACCCGCTGTTCAACCTGTGTGATGTTTCATGTGCGCTTGGTGAGGATCACCCACATACGTTAAATGTCAGGGTAAAACTGATGAAGCCTCTTGGATGACCCATAAAACTTCCCCAACTCTTGAATGATAAAATTTTGTTTCATATGTTTTTAGTTTTTTGGATGAAATTCATCTACATTCATTCTTCCCTCTTATTTCCAGCCTGAGAACTTGCTGTACTTCAGTCCCCATGATGAATCAAAGATCATGATCAGTGACTTTGGCTTGTCAAAGATGGAGGGAACAGGCGACGTGATGGCCACCGCCTGTGGGACTCCAGGATACGTGGGTGAGGATGCCTTCTGAGCTTTGGCTTTGGTTGGAAACTTCCTCTGAGATAATTAGATCCACTAGTTGGCCGAGTTGGCCATAATCTAATCTAGTCTGTCAGTAGCCACAGGATAACTTTAGCTGTCTGCTACAGGCAAACCACCAAACATTCACATTATTCTGCAGCCTCTGTGTCATAGTTAATGGCTGAAAGCTGTTTGCTTTGTTTCACAAGATCAGGGGTCTCAAACCGTCGGCCTGAGGGGGCCATTTACTGCCCTCCATCGCCCTCCCTTTGGCCTGCGACATGATGTCCAGAATATAATATAATATTCTATTATTCAGCCACTTTTTTCCCCTAGTTGTTTTATCTTTAGTTAAACTACCACTCCATATATAATTTCGGGCCTTCATTTGTTGTTTGTCAGAATATTATTCTTAAAGTACTCAAACGTTTGAGTGGCCCTCCTATTAGAAAACAATAGCATATGTTGCCCCCCCTAGCTAATTTGAGTTTGAGACCCCTGCATGATGAGTGTTCTGACCTTTTTTCTATAAAATTATTTCATTGTTTCAGCTCCTGAGGTTTTAGCTCAGAAGCCCTACAGTAAAGCTGTGGACTGCTGGTCTATTGGGGTCATCGCTTATATTCTGTAAGTGCTCACTTTTAATATATAAATATGGTCATTGAAGCTTTGTGGTTGGATTTTCATGTATTTTCTGAAACTTTATTTAAGCAGGAAGCCCTCATTAATGATATAAACCACCAGGAAAACCTCATTGAGATTAAAAACCTCTTCATCAGGAGTGTCCAGACCAACAGTGAGATCATAGTTAGAGTTTTAGACAAAGCTCCTAAAACAGGTAACAAGATTAGAATTGATGAATAAGAGTCTACAGCCATGCTGTGAGGCTGTACTTAGGATTTAGGTTGAAGCCCTGCTGTGCCTGACACTGGCGTGCTAACATGCGCACAATGACAATGCTAAGGTGTTGATGTTGAGCAGTTACAAGTTTACCATATTCACCATCTTACACACTGACTCTAAGCAGGTTTTTAGTGTACAGTGTGGTCACACTAGTCTTAAATTTAAGGAAATGTCTATTTCTATTTCTGAAGTTTAGCTGGCAAAGTCTCAGTTTAACAACAGATATCACACATATTGTGTCATTTCCTGTTAGTATGATATGGTGAAGTATGTGTGATATTTTTGCAAACTACAAAACTTAAAAACTTAAACAGTATATTGATGCTCTGGGGACCATTAATGTCTGAACAAATATTTCAAAACAAGTATCATGTCAATGCTGACATAAAAAAAAACAATACAATGCAGCACCTTAAACACAACATAAAAGCTGCTGGAGGGTCTAGATCGTAGTACGAGGGATGCCCACAGCTACTGAGCTATTTTACAGAGCCAGTAAAGCTTTTAGTGGAAAGCTGCCAAACAAATTAAGCGGTGTCGCTCGTTACCAAAGAGAAAATCCCGGGTGTTGTTCTCCATCCGTTAGGTGTGATGAATTTTAAGATAATTACAACAAAGAGTTTCTGATGCCCTCACAAATGAGGCTCCAGTCTGGTGTTTGTTAGGGAATAATGTACATACTAAAACAAAATCTGTAGGATTAACGTCGAGAATATATTGGTTGCACATTATTTATTCATGTTCAATATAATAACTTCTTATTTGTTAAACTAACATGACTTTTTCATGTCTTCCTAAAGATCTTTTATGTTTTGTGTTTTCGTGTTCGATCAGCCTTATCTGCTCGATTAGGTCTCATACCATTGTGTTATAGGGCTTTAACATGTTTCCATCAATTCTACAAAATAATTTCTAGAATCTAACAAGACCAGGTATAATGATGAAATCTTGTACATCATTATACCTGGTCTTGTTAAAGTACAACATTTTTACTACTGTACATTTTTGAAAGCAAATATGACAATAAGCAAAAAAACAATTTCTTGCACTATAATAATTTCAGCCAGAGCCTGAATTCAAAACACTGCAATAACAGTGCAGTTCAAATGATGAAAGATGTATATAACTAGAACATATTAAAACACATTGTACAATTGTTTCACTGCATATTTGTAAGTTAAACAATTCCCCCATCTGCCCTTTTTTTCTCCTTTGCATAATCAAGATCACAACTTAACCATACAGCATCAATTTATGTTTTTTCCATTTTTCCATATTATATGAAAAGGAAATGTTTTTGTTCCATTTTTTCCCCTCTTAGTATCCATGTAGTCTTTTATAATCCATCTAAACCGTCTCCTGTTGCATGCTATATGAAAAATGAAACAGCCCCTGAATGAGATTAGGCCTCAGTAAATCCTTTTTAGATTTGGGTTAAAGTTTCTAACATCAGCTGGATGACGGCACTGTTGCCGACTGTTGTTGTGTAATCATCCATCTTCATCTTCTCAGGCTTTGCGGTTACCCTCCTTTCTATGATGAGAATGATTCGAAGCTCTTTGAGCAGATTCTGAAGGCAGACTATGAGTTTGACGCTCCGTATTGGGATGACATATCGGACTCTGGTGAGCTATTACTTGTGTGTTTGTGTTTACACTGTTATTTAATTTTAATTTTAATGAATGGTAACACTTTATTTTACGGATCCCATAGTTTTAATTTCATTTTCAATAAAGGAACTGAGGTATTGAATCCCATAGACCAGCAAAAAATATATAAGTATTACCTAAATAATGCACATAGTTGAATAGTGTAAATGTAAAAAGAAAATATAAAGCATTATAGTTTTCCTTTAAACTGCAAAATAGAGAAAGATTTTTATTTCCAGTCAATTAATTAGAAAAATTTAAACATTATTTTATTTTCCAACTCTATCTCTCACTCCTTCCTATATTTGGAATCTTAGTCTAAGTTAACTCGCTCACAGACACACCGCTGATAGTACGTTTTTGTTAGTCAACAAGAAATACACATTATCAGCTTTAGAGGTTAAAGCAAGTGTTAAAGAGTGTTACATTTCTTTTACGTTATTGGTATTAAAAAAGTCTGATAAACTTTTATTTTAAATGTTGTTTCGTCTGGAAATCAACGTACTGTAACATTTCCTGGTTCCTCCTCAAAAGTGGGTTAACCAGTTCTAGGGAATGCAATTCTAATCAGCCGAGCCCACACAACATTAACTTGTTCTTCCAGCCATGATTTGTGTGTAAGGTTACATTAAATCACTTGCCAACGGACAGTCGGCTTACTTTGTAGTTGTCGGACATGTGCTGTTGTTGTGATGTTATCTACAGTAGCAGGAGAGGGAAAACATCTCATCTAGAGTCCTGCGCAGGACTGTTTTCTCACTCCTGGTTGATTTCTGACCATTACCGCCCACTCCCACTGTGTGTCTACTCACGCCTGCACAATGGAGATTTTATGTCTTCTCCTGTCCCGCAGATGAAAAGATGTTATTTTACTGGTAACAACTGAGAATTTTCTCCAAATGTCAGACTGTTGTTTTATAAAAACCCGCTTTAATTTTCTTTTCAGCTTCATTTGTTGATTCCTCCTGGTGGGTGCAGGCTAAAGTCCCAGGAGGAACCCAGCAGTTTATTTTTTTGACCGCCCTCTCCCGCGACATTTGCTCTGGGTCCCGCGGGATCCAAATGCAGTCCTCTGATCTCTCTGCATGTCGCTGCGCAGCACCAACTTTAGTGACAGTAACCCACAACACACGCAGTTACCGTTAGTTACATAGCTGTGTTGTGTTCACACTACATTATGGTAGTTGTCATGGTATTGGATTTCTCTAGAATTGCTTCCCCCACTGTTAAAAACTAAACTAAAGGAGCTGTTATTTAGTGTGCTGCCTTAGAACATTTTATTTATATTCTCTATAATTACTACCAAATTACTTTGCTATTTCTTCTTAGGAAAATGTTTAAGAAATGGCAGGACCCGTAAAATAAAGCATCACAAAAAAGATTAAAGTTCACTTTACTGAGTATAGAACATGTTCTTGACCTTTTTTAATTTCCTCCACAGCCAAAGACTTCATCAGCTGCCTAATGGAGAAGGACCCAGAGAAGAGATTCACATGTGACCAGGCTCTTGAGCACCCTTGGTGAGAAACTAACTGTCGCCACATTGCACCCCAACCAGACAATCGCAGGGAACCACAAATCTCGGTGCATTTAAACAGCAGTATGACGCAGATTGCCAGGCTTACGCATTTGTCATGGAGAGCATGTCCTCCCACTGTCATCTGTCGCCATGGCTCCGAGCCGCGAGCCCACCTCTGCTCGGCACCGTTAGCCCTCAGAGAGGAATCTGCTGAATAAATGGCTGCCAATTAGTGGCTGGTGTCCTGAAGGATCCTTGAAGAATGTGGAAGCTTTAATGAACAATTAGGATGTCTTCCCAGGCCTGAGCCGGAGCTAACGAGAGCGAGCTGGCGTGGGCTGCTGTCTCCGGCTGAGGTGGCCAATATGAATAAGTCTGTTAGCCAGTAATGGGCCTTTTGGGTCCTGGGCAGGTGGTCGTTCTGATATAAATATGTGGTTTGTGACACCGGTAACGGGTATCATAACAGAGAGAAATAGCCTTCATTGACAAGGTTTCATACAGAGATATTATGATGAATGTGACAGGGAGTGAAACAGTGTGTGAGCTCCTTTAAAACAAACATCAACCCATCAATCAAAGATGTTTTAGCAGAATGAAAATAAATGATCCGAGCTAATAGGAAAACAGCACAAGGACAATTCCCAAGGTATTACAGATACAATAATAAATTTGTATCATCATTTGTGTGATGCTGTGTTTGTATGTGTGAATTGTTATCTACATGATCTAAAAGGACTTGACTTTAATTTTCAGGATTGCTGGAGACACAGCTCTCTGCAAGAACATACATGAGTCAGTCAGTCGACAGATGCGGAAAAACTTTGCCAAAAGCAAATGGAGGGTGAGCGGACAAGACTTGATCTTCCTTTTATCAAATATTACTGAAAACACACACACATATACAATATTCTCTATCTTATGTTCTCCGTGGATCTGTCTTTACACCCTCCCTCCACAGCAAGCCTTTAATGCGACGGCTGTGATCCGCCACATGAGGCGCCTGCAGCTGGGCACCAGCTTTGGCAGCAGCATTCACGGCAGCAACTCCGTGTCCAACCCGCAGAGCCGTGCTCCAGCCAAGAGCCAGTCTGTGGACTGCGCCCCGCTCTCCCTGAAGGACTGTGAGTGACACTTCAGATGCTCTCTGTAGACGCAAACATGTCCAACTTTCAGTACCGCAGTCAGCTGAGCTCTGTTCACTCTGCTGCTGTCTCCATTCAGCTAATTGGCAGCTGGTTAAAAAGCTCTTGAGGTGTAATTTTCAATTAAACACAGTTTGACACCAACCACGTGGTCACAATGTTTCTGGTGCGATTTAATGTAACATAGAGCTTGTTAAAATGGAGGTCAGTTGCAACATGTACATTTTTACAGTTTACTTCTTACATTATCAATCATTTAAGTTATTTATCAAAAATAAAATCCAAACCTTTACTGGTTCCAGATTTTCAAGTGTTTACTGCTTTTTTTTAATATCATTGTACATAAAATAACTGGATCTGAGAAAGTGTTTAATCAGTTAATAAACTAAACATTTTATGGAACAGCCAGAATACTATTGATCAGATTAATTTGTAATTAAATTATTATTATTTTCAGTGTTAATAGGTTTATAAGCTTAGTGTTGAAGTGAATTGTATTTTCTATCAGTGCCTGAAATATGCCAGTACTCACCAATACATGAGTACCCTTATTTCTTATTGAATACGGCCACCTCTAGCAAGCATGGCTGTACCCACCACTGAGGTCACCATTATTTTTTATACAATAAATAGTTTGTGAAATAATTGTCTAAAAATAAGCATTTTGATGCTTTGATGCATGCCTCAAAACCCTCCTAGAAAGTACAATTTTTGTATTTGAATTAGGGTACTGGCACCTTTTTCGGTCCAATTCAAGCCCTGTTTTCTAGATTGGTGACAGTCGGTGCAATATGCTTTGATTGAAAACAACATATTTTTGATAGTCATCTTAACTCCACTTACTTTACTGAGATTTCAAACACATCTCATGTTTTTTTATCAGCAGATAGAATTTGCTCAGTTGTCATGGAAATAGCTTAATATTATTTCTGCTTCATTCTGTGATGTGTCTACTATTTCCAATGATAAGCCATTGCCAGCATTGTTTAATATTGTCAATAAATCCAATCAACGATGAATTGATGCTACAGTTTTGTCTCTGTAGCCAAAGCCGGATAAAGGTTATTTGTATGTGTCATAGACCTCCATTGTTGTCCAAAAACTATTAAAAACCCATAAATTAGTCACTCTGTTGCACTAAGTGACACGTTGTTCATGACGATGGACATGAGCACTGTAGTTTGAGAGTCAGTTCCACGTGCCACACACAAATACTCACTAGAGCTTCAAATGAGTGTTAATCCATGGCTTAAAATTGCATTACTTACTTCTGTTTGAGTAACATTTGCTAAAAGCCACAGTGCTCAGTTGTTTCAGGAAATTATTTAGCCTTTTTTTGAGAATGAAAATGTATATTTGGAAGCTGTCATTTTCATCTTCAGTAAGAACCATTGGGCTTTGGGGTTGAGCGCCACAGACAGAGAGAGAGCCTTAGGGTTTGGTTACACACCATCATTAGCCAGCTGTCATAGAAAAGAGGGAGATGTTATATTGTTTAAATATGGGGATAACAATGCACATATTCAGTCTCCTGGAAGACATTCATAGTGTTGCACTTGGTTGAAAAGTGACTGAAATACTGAAACAAATGAAAGAAGAGAGCAAGAGAGGGAAGTGCAAACCTGGGCTACTTTCTCCTCTCCACACAGCTGACCAATGACTGCTTGAATGTTGGATTGTTAGTGTCATAAAGTTACACAAATGGTCAGACCTCCCTAATCATCAGAAAGGTCATGGGAATTGTTGACAATAATTAAAAAGTAGAATATTACCAGACTCCTAAACTTGATTAAGCGTTCATTAAGAGTTAATGAACGCTAAAACTATATTTTCTCCCACAGGTTCTCCAATAGCTCCTTTGCCCCCTGCTGTTAAAGCATACAATCAGGACTCTGACGCCTCCTCTCCAGTACAAGAGGAACCAACAGTGGTGGCCGAGCCATCGCGGCCACGACCCTCCACCGTCACGGTCATCCACACTGGGACTAAATGACGCCAGGTTCCGCGGGAGGTGAGCTGGGAGACCACAGAGCTTTGAGACGGGATAAAACCATCCCAGGCCTCGTGATTCTACGTTGTCGCCCAGTTTGCCCATCCCGCAACCTCCCATCTGTTTCTGCAAAACCACGGGAGGAATTTGAGGAGCGTTGGCTCAGCTCCATTTACCATGGCTCAGCACGGCACCGCGCTGCTTCCCTCCCAACTGTCATACAGACCCGGAAGTACAGAGGGGAAGATGATCACCAGAAGTTGACATTGTGAAAGCCATGTTCAGCCTGGATCATGGTTGTCTGCCAGACAAACAAGCAGCTGGTCTAGGAAGTGCCACACTAAGGGGAACTCTTTATTGAAGCTGCTATCATTTGTGACTGTGAGCATCTTGAGACAAGGATGCTCCGCTGTATGCCTTGTGTAAATATCCTGCCTGGAACTGTTGAGTGAAGTCATGTTATGCAAGTGAAATATAAGCTTCAAGCTGTGGTATATAATTGTGGCATCATCTGCACTCTGAACTTCTTGTCGTTTTGACAGCTCTTGTTCATTTGCTGTGGTATTTGCTACAATGGCTCGCAGGGTAGTAATTCCCAACAGTGTGACAGTGTATGTTATCTTTTTTGCTTTAAAGTGTCTGGACATGAAATATGAGCAGGACGGTGCACTTCAATCACGGCTGTGATCGCTGAGAGGGCTGACTTTTGTAAGAACCACTTGCAGAAATGTGTAAATGTGTTATTAGACTGGGACTGAAACATTATTGAATTGAATTATAAAGATGCAGTATCTAATAGTTGTTACTTTGTAATTGCTGTTTTATTTGATTAATGAATTTTTGATGTGACTGTGAAGTCCTCCTTGACCACAGGAGGGCAACCACGTGTTGTGTGACCAGTTCTCAGGGATGTGCTCCAACATGAAGCTAACCAAACCCCTCTCAGAGTGATCAGACACTGCTGAGGGTGAAATAGTTGTAAAGTAAAACTTCAAAATACTGCATATGTGCCATTAGGAGACTTTGGCAGATGTTTTCCTTCTTTAAATCCATTTTTATTGACTGTATGAGTGTAATGTAACTCATACCGAATGGATTGTTTCCCCTTTAAAAATGCATTATATTTGGATTCAAAGAAAGTGTTTATTAGTAAAGTGTGCGTTCATGTCCGCAGTAGTAAAAATGTAAAATGACACATGAATGCAAATGTATCTCAATTGCTCCCACTGCAGAATCGTCAAATCAGTAGCGTACAGTTCAGTAGTTGTAATATCGTGCTCTGCTTCCGCTCATGAAGTGGCTGGTCTGAAAACAGCTCACTCACTCTATGTTTAATCACTGTGCTTTCATACCAGCCTGTTGAATTTAGCAGAAGAAGAAGACTCTTTCTCCTTTCTCTCCCGCTCGCTCTCTAGAGACCTTCACACAGAGAAAAGAAGGGATCTGTCTTTGTATTTTCTCTGTGGTACCTCTCTGTTTAATTTTCAATCACTCAACCTAAATGGGGCAAAAAAATAACACTCCACCAGAACATGCCTGATATCGAGGCCATCTTGAATTATCTAAACATGTTGTGGTGAATATTGACTTTGAGCCTCTACTTACTGTAAATACACATCTCAATAACAGTTAGCTTGGGTCTTGAGTGTTTATTTTGGCCTTCCCTATATTATTTCCCCAAAATACATCAGAAAGCAAAGAAAATGAAGCATTAAAAGCTCCACAGTATGCATGTATTACATATTATTACAGAAATGTGCTTTTGGAGTTGTAGAGATTCATGTATTAAAAAAAGAGGCTTGTTTGCATGTGTCGTTGCTTCTTTGAAGGAGTAAATATCAGGTTAGTAAGAGTACACATTTCTTACAGTAACAAATATAACTGGATACAGATTTTTAAATGGTTATGTTAAAATATTTAATTATGTCATCACAAGTGAGTAAATATATAGAAAATAATATATATATATATATATATATATGTAAATACAGTATATTCACACTATTCTGCCTCTGGTACTGTGTATTAAATTTTTGAACATCTAATTAACCCTAAACCCCCTTAACAGCTTCAAAAAACATAAAACATACTTAAAGGGATAGTTCAGGTCTTTTTTTTGAAGTGGGGTGGTATGAGGTACGTCATCATGCCCCTAGTGCCAAGGCCAGGCCCCCTTTTGAGGTGGAGGATAGTGCTTTCACATATGTTAACATGAGAAACTACAGTACAACTAGAAACAACCATGCTAACAACCAAAGCCTTCACCACAGCCTCCAGGAGTTTGTGTGCCTTTCTGGGATTGTTGTGGCCTAAAATGCCTCATTTCACAGCAGTTTTTCAAAAAAGTGAAAATTGCTAAAATAGTTGAGTTTGTAGAATTCATTAAAATTCTAAAGGCAAGACTAAAATCACTGTTTTGAGGGTAAATGTGAGATGTTCACATTGCACATGTCTACATGGTCTGTATCTTGAGTGAGTTTGGTGACGTACGGCTCAACGTTTTGGGTTTTTGAAACTACTATGATCATTGTCAAATTTGCAGAAAAATTTGCGATGATTGGACAAAATTGCAAGGCTGGGTTGAATTCACGATTGCAACATTGCATCCTTCCTGAAAGGGACTGTTTCACTGTGTGATTTAAGGCACATAAGGTAAACAGATTAAAATAAATTATGCTTGTGACAGTTACTACTTATGGATAGCTAAAGTTAGCTTTGGTTATTAACAGGTTATGTACAGACAACAATTAGCCTAACTGCAGGTAGGACACTGATTACAGATAAGTACCTCACGCAGCCCCGGTTAAAAAAACAAAACATCCCTTTAATGTTGTATTATCAGCTTGATGTTTCATGGCTTTTCCTGCTTTTATGAGAATTGCTTATATACATGATTTGGACGTAATGACCTGTTATAGAAGTCCGCTACAGGAGATGATGCATTACTTCTGTTTGGGCTCTTAGAGACCACAGCTGTTTAATATAGTGGATTGGATGGACCTTTTTTATATTTGTGATTGGTGTTGACCTCAATAATTCTAAATAAATCTATTTAGATTTCCATTATTGGAGCTTTACAACAATTTATTCACAAGTCTATCAGGACCCTTTATGGGCTCTAGTTGACCCCAAACATCAGTATGTTCTCTATTTATGTTTATGTCTATGTCTATTTAAGTTATTTAAGCAAAATCACCAAAATTGACTGATTACAGCTTATCAAATGTAAATATTTGCTGGTTTTCTTAGACCACTATAATTGTAAATTGACTATCGTTGGTTTTTGACTGTTGGTCAGATAAAGTAAGCAATTTAATAAAGTCAACCTGGGTTTTGGGAAATGACCATGGCCTTTTTTTTCACATTCTATAGACTAATTGACTAATCAATTAATTGATAATTAATATTTGCTAGCTGCAACCCTAAAAGAAAGCGACTTATATTTGCTCATCTATAGCCCATAACATATAAAATGGTTATTTCTGTGGCAAAGTGAAAGATTTATCATTTCAACAAGGTTACTTTTCTACATTTTGGGTTAGTAAAAAAGACAAGATGGATGAATAAAATGGAAAATGTTTACAGCAGTCCAATATGTCTGCAATTGTCACTCTAATCAACCGTATACTTGTCAAGGTCTGAGGAGAAAAGCCTCATTGTGTAGTTAAAAGATTTCTTTAAAAGCTCGGCATCCTGTCAGTTTACAGCATCACCTCTCTCCTCTCAGTCTCAGATGGAGTGACGGTTGTACTCTTGGGGGGGATGCATGCCGTCATAGTGAAACTCCCTCCACTGCTCGGTGCTCTCTCTGGTCCTCTCGTCTTGTTCTGGGAGATCATGAGAATTTTAGTGGATGAATGAGCCGGTCGAGTGAATGAACTCATCCCCCTCAGCTTCATCATATATCAGGGTTTTCATACCATCGTGCTCCTCTTCAGCGTAGCTCTCAAACTCGTTCCTCTTCTCCTCATGAAATTCTCTCTTTCGTTCATCTGCTGCCAGAATCTGCCTCTGCTCAGCTGCAAGCACAGAGGAGGATGAGGATGAATCAGCTGAGTGATAAAGATAATGGATTCAGGAGTTTGTTGTCATATTAACCAGCTGCTGACACAACGTCAGAAATAAAAAATAAAAATTATTCTGGACTGCTTACCAAACTGTTGCCATTTACAATAATCTGCATTCATTTTTCACCATTAAATTGAAATGAATAATAACACAAACATGAAACATTTTGAAAAAGATGAATACGTGAAATCAAAACAACAATAAAGTGGTCATATAAAATTAACAAAAAGTTATACAATATGCAGTTCAGTATTGTAGTATTGTAGTACAAATCATCACTGAATAGTACTCAAACACAAGAAAACTGGTTTTCAATCTAAACACCCTTTGGGTAAAAGTCGCACCATGATTAAATTTGGCCTCATTGATTCATTAATTACCAATATTAACAGTATCGACTTGGATTTACCTGATAAATTACTGTATTTTTTTTAATCAAAAACATGATTACAAAAAGCTACAAAAATCATGCTGATATAATATTTACAATAAATATACCATTGAATAATATTAGATTTATCTTACTACAGTTTATAATCAGAAAAAGTTGTATGGTAATATAAGATTTTTGTAATACTACCTTTTCTATTAATGAACATCTCCGCTGAACAAGCAGGTTGAGCAGGTTTTTAGAAAAAAATACTTTTTGTGGGCTTACCTCTGAAACTAAGCTAAAAAATGTTAAAAATTGTGGCCATGTGCCAAAAGTGATTTATCTGCTGCTAACTTCCTGGATGTGAACCACCTGAAAACCGCAGTGCACCCTGGGGATTTCTAGGGTCTAACATACTTCTGTCGACTCAACCAGGTTGAGTTAAGTACAACAATATATCACAACTAATATACGCTACCAAACAGAGAAGACCTGGCATGGAGAAGAGTCTGGAAATAAACTGCATCAACTAAAAGGAACCACAGTTTCAATTCAAAGCTCATCTTCAAGTATACACACAGACACACACACAAACTCAATACGACATCACAAAACTACAACCTCCAAAAAATACCACAGAGCTGAATCACCGTGTCTGAACAAAAGCTGCTTTTTGTGACCTTAAAGCTGGTGAAGCTGTGATTCACAGAAGCTGCTTGTATCCATGCAAACACAAACCCTGGACCCCCAAGTGATGGAAAGAAGTATAATGAGTCACGTCTCACTGTTGTTACTAGGTCCAGAAAGATATATGTGGGTAGAAAGCCATCATGTACAATGTTGGGTGAGTTACTGGTTGCTGTAATTGTTCTTCCTGTCTCTGAAGAGATCCCTTCTTAATGCATGGAGGACAACATCCGTAGCCCTCGGTCTATCCAGAATACATCCTTAAATTCAGTAGAAGTTAATATGGGAATTCAGCAATCTGAGTTAGACACATCTCCTAACCCTTTAATATAGGGATCGGTTCTGGTAGCTTGTTCCAATTTGGTACTAATATACCCCCTTTTCCACCAACCCGAACCCAGTTCTAGGCTAGTTAGTTAGTGATGGTTCAGAGTTGAGAGAGCCACTAAAGAGCCAAATCATTACGTCACTGTATACGTCTCAAAGGTTAGGCTAGTAGTGGGCTAGCTAGGTAGGTTTTGGTCAACTAACATTACCCAAGCAAGCATACTATTGATTTGTCAGTTCAGTGTTACTAACCTTAAAAGTAACATTAAAGTTGCAGACTACTTCTAATCAATCAACCCTGGATTGTTGG